CCAATAAAAGCTCGGTTCAAGTCTGCTTGTATAAATTGAATGAAATAAAGCATTGAGCATCACTTAATGTTACCATTAGCATGTGTCTAAAAGACTGATTGCCTTTCTCTGTGTAAATTTCAAGCCACATGTGATTAATAAAGCATTAAGCATCACTATCACACTTGGCATCAGTTTACTACCTTCTCACAAACTGGTTGTTTTCCAAGCTGAAAGATAGGAGCTTAAAGACTAGGCTAGTAACATTAGCTGAGGTAAATTATCGTTATCATTTGTCTCACTGGCTTTCTCTGTAAATTTCAAGCTGTGTGATCGATAAAATGTGGAGGATTACGTATCATGCTTGGCATCAGTTTAGTACATCTTTTCGAGCTTATAGATAGGAGCTGAAAAAGGCTAGGCTAGTAACATTAGCTGAGGTAAATTACTGTTATCATTTGACTGCCTTTCTCTGTGTAAATTTCCAGCCACGTGATCAATAAAGCGTTGAGCATTACTTATCACACTTGACATCAGTTTACTAACTACCTCTTCACCAACGTGCTGTTTTCGAGCTGAAAGATAGGAGCTGAAAACGGCTAGGCTAGTAACATTAGCTGAGGTAACTTGCCATTAGCATTTGTCTAAAAGACCGACTGCCTTTCTATAGATACTTTTTTAGATGGATAGATACTTCATTGATCCCGAAGGACATTCAGCAGCCAGTAGCAGTTACACAACACAAGACAGTTATAATAATAAGGGTGATACAATATAAAAAGAAGAATATATACCAAAAACCTATCCACAGTACAAGGAGGCGTAGGTAACGGCATATAATGACAATGTTGAACAAATATGTGTGTATATTGGTACTGAAATAAAGTGTGAGTAAGGTGTGAGTAAAGTGTTGAGCATCACTTATCACGCTTGGCATCAGTTTCCAACCTCTTCACAATCTGGTTGTTTACAAGCTGAAGGAGCTTAAAAAGGCTAGGCTAGCAACATTCGCTGAGGTAACTTATCATTAGCATTTGTCTAAAAGAATTAGCTTCTTTTCTCTATGTAACTTTTAAGCTAAATGTGATCTACTGGGGCTTTTTCTGCTCTCAATATGGCTTTAATTGCATGTAGTAATGGTAAAATTACAGTAACAGATGCTTACACCTCACCAATTAGCATGATGGAAACTGCATGCTGAAATCATCACATATTTGAAATGTTAAAGGGGAATTCCACAATTTTTTTTTCAAAATTTCTGCATTATTAAATGGTTAAGAAGTCATTCAGAGTGGTTTGGTGTGAAATGCTCCGTTCCACAGAAACTTACCGAGTCAGAATTGTTCACAGTAGTGGTGATAGGAACCAGATGTCCATCTCTAAAACCTCCCTCACAGAATGTTAATACATAATGTTAATTTCAATGCTTAACGTTCTCTGTCTGTCTTTCTCTCTCAGGTACAACAGACTGGCCAGAGAATGGACTCAGAAATACGCCATGTAACTGGCGTGGACTGCACATGCAGAATTTCAAAGAGTTGCACGTGGACGATGAATGCAGATGTACTGTAAACCGCCTTGATCAGAGCCGGTGGAGTGTTTTTGGTTCTCGTTTTTTTTCCCCCCTTTCTTTACAGAGGATATCCTGTAGCTAAAACTGAAACTGCGTTATGCAGTGAGGCCTCTCACTTTAGTTTTGTTTACAGAAGTGTGAAGAAATGCAGGAGTCATCATCAGCTGGCTACTGCTGAAGAGAGCTTGGGAGTAGCCACAGCAACTATAAGAACATAAAAAAACAGATTATCATGAAAAATGTTTCTTTTTCTTTTAGATACACTTTTCTTTTAGATGTTTTATTGTATAGTATTAAAAGCTATACTGGAACTATTTTTATTATTTGCATTAAAAAGGTGACAAAAGAATGCAAATCACCAGCCGTTTGTTTGTTTTATGGCAATGCTGACGTATTTCACGTAACGGAGGCAGAACAGAATAACAAGAGGCAAAAACACTTCTTGGATTTTATCACTAGTCAGTTTTGAAGGTTTTAATGAGTTTCTAACTTTTTTCATACAGTCCGAGTCTGGCCTTGCAGTCTTTTCCCCCCAAAAAGAGTTTTTTTTCCTGCTGTGAAAATGATATACTTAAACGTCCAGGACACTGGACTGAATTCTTTAAAAGCCTTATAGGGACTCCAGCCAATATGAAAAATGTAACCATTGCTATATCCATGCTTACTGCAGGAGTCTCTACAGTGAGATTTTCCTGTTTAAAGACTAGAAACACCTTCTGTTCATGTATCTTGAAGGTGGAAGGGATTTGTGGAAAAACTACAGCTGTTTTAGGGTGGATTTTTATGGTTGGGCTATTTGGAAATGTGTTTTTTCCTGATGAATTCCAACTAATGAATAAGAGCTAATGTTACTGTGTATATAACTTACCTCAGTGTGGCTTCTTTTCTCTGACTGAAAGGGTAAGAACCTATCCATTTTGTGCTAAATAACGATAGAATCACTGTTTTCTTTGCAATTTTGTTTAACAACTGAGGTAAGAACAACACTAATGTTGGCTTTTAGTTAACACTAATGCTATTTAGTATTTATTAGTTTATAAATCAGTGGCCAGCAGTCAGAACGAAAACATGAAAAGAATATACAAGTGTAAATTCTGTTTAACCGAGGAGGATGATGGGCAATGCTGGTGTAATAATACTACAGAATACTGTAATAACATGACACATAACATTAGCCCATGTGTTATTTTTACTGGTTTGAGGGACACAAAAGAGACATTATTCCAAACAATAATTCTTCAGTGCAGTCCTTCTGTGTGAACACAAGCTTGAACACAAAAAACAGACTTCTGTAGGAGAATTTCACCAGTTTTTGCACTTGTTTGTACATTATTATTTACTAAATGGAAAAATAATTCATATGTACAGGTTACAGTGTGATTCAAAAAGATATATCCGATTTAAAAGTGCCAACTTTTTACAACCATGAGGCACCTAGGAACCAATCACATACCAATTGAAAGAGGGGGTCATAGAGTTTCTGACTGTCAGTATGGCAGTGAACAGCTCAGAGCATTCGTCATTGGTGACCAACAGTTCCACAAAAAAGGTCACCAGCATCGCCAGATCTCACACTGTAGGACTTTTTTTTTGGGGGGGGGGGGCGTTGAGGATTCTGTTTATGTGCCACCACTCCCAACAACACTGGATGATCTCTGAAATCACATTGAAAGAGCTGTGAGTACAGTGACAGTAGACATGCTCAATCGAGAATGGGATATATTAGAATTGATGCTGTCCGTACAGCTTGAGGACGTCATATAGAGCATATAGAGTTTACATAATAAACTTTATGCTCATTTAACCATTTACAGTTTACTGCATTGTTCTCTAATGATTTACAAGTGAAATAAATCATTTTGAAATTGGATGAATCTTTTTGAATCACACTATAGTGAATAACTATATAGAAGAAGTAAGTATGAAATCAGTACAGAATAGAGATTTTCTGGCTTAAAGATGAGCAGAACTCCCTTCACATGATGTAACTTCAGATGATGTAAAGTTAGGACGGACTTTCAAAAGAGTAAGAGCACTTTGGCTGTTTTGTATACTCTCACAGAGAACCTTATTAGGAACAGCCTCAATTCTTTGTGGCACAGATTCCATAAAAAATCTGGTCCATGTTGACATGATTGCATCATGTAATTCCTGCAGATGTTTCATTCTGTGAATCTGTTCTACCACATCTCTACTGGATTCAGATTTGGTGACTGGGAGGGTCACTGAAGAACACTGAACTCGCTATCACATTCATAAGACAAGTTTGAGATGACTTTTACTTAGTGACGTGGTGCTTTGTCATACTGGAAGTAGCCATTAGAAGATGGTAAATTGTGGTCATGAAGTGTTGCACATGCTTGGCAACAATACTCAAATGGGCTGTGGCGTTCACACAATGTTTGGTTGGTATCAACAGGCCCAAAGTGTGCCAAGCAAACATTCCCCACACCATTACACCACCTCCACCAGCCTGGACTGCTGATACAAGGCAGGTTGGGTCCATAGATTCATGTAGCTGGTGCAAATTCTGACTTTACTATTTGTGTACCTCAGCAGAAATCAAGGTTCATCAGTCCACGCTACATGTTTCCAGTCTTCAACTGTCCAGTTCTGGTGGGTCTGTGCCCACTGCAGCCTCAGCTTTCTGTTCTTGGCTGACAGTAGTGGAACCTGACGTGGTCTTCTGCTGTTGTAGCCCATCCGCCTTGAGGTTCGACGTGCTGTGCATTCTGAGATGCTTTTCTGTTCACCATAATTGTACAAGGTTATTAGAGGAATTACCTTAGCCACTCTTAAAAAAGATGGTTCTTCAAAAGTTCTTTAGTAAAGGCAATGCTTCGATTTAGAACCCTGAACACTCAAAGATCCATTTGCATGCTTTAAGTTCTTTGCATGGTGAAATGGCTCTTCAGATTGATGGAGAATGTGTTGTAAAAAGGGTTCTTTCACTGTTACAATGTCAAGCATGTCACAATCGCAAAACCCTTTTTGGTGCTATATAGAACCATTTTCAAGAAGGTTCTATGCAGAACCATATACAACACATTCTCCATCAATCTGAAGAAAAATTTCGCCATGCAGAGAACATTTTAACCATGCATATGGTTCCAAATAGAACCACTGTCTTCACTTTAGAGCCCTTAAAGAGACCCTCTTTTTAAGCCCCTTTAAAGTTGTATTATTTTGTACTGATTTTGTGCCTAATTATTCACCATATTTAGAACAATACTCAGAAGGTAGTAACATATAATATTTTATTAATCTATTGTTAAACAATTTCACATCGTATCATTTCTATTTTTTTTTTTATTTTTAATGGCTAAAATAAAATAGCCGCTGGCTATGGATGAAAATGTGCGCGCGCACGGCACACACGCCCACGCAGCCTTGCACGCGCGCGCGCGCGCACCCGCGTGCCAAGCCCCCTCCCCTCCCCATCGTTAGAGTAGAACGCCAGTGAGTGGAGGCGCGCGCAGAACTTTTGAAAAGAATTGTTGATTCTGGCACGTGAGCGTTCTAAAAAAGTTCGTTATTTTTCTGTAACGGTTGTTTTCTCTGAGGGACAGAATGGCTGCGGTTAGACTGGCTTTCTGAGCGGAGGCTCGTAAAGAAAAGAAACGGACCTAAAAAAGAAAAAAGTGAGTCCGCATCGCAGAGTCCAGCCTTCGCCTACCGTTCTATGAAAATCTCGGTCTTTCTGCTGGTGTGGAGCACCGTGGCCTCAGAGCGCGGGCGTGTTTGTACGCCATGGCCGCCCATCTGGTCTCTCCGAGCAGCTACTCTCTCCCTCAGCCGGAGCTGGGCTCCAACAGCGAGCGGAGCGCTGACTCTCCGCTGCCCGCCTCCGAGGACGACTCCAGCGGCCACGTCTCCCCGCCAGACCCGTCCTGGACGGAGGAGAGGTTTCGGGTGGACCGCAAGAAGCTGGAAACCATGTTACTCGGTAGGTATGAATGAGTAACTTGCCCTTCACAACCTTTTTACAACAAAGTGAAACACGTCACTCTTTTTATGCGGGAAAAGTTCATTTTAATGTGAATAGCCTACTTAATTCGTGTTATCATACTTAAAGGACAAACTCCACCGACTTTTCAAAATGTCTGAATGTAAACAGAGCCATTCAGAGTGCTTTTGTGGGAGACTAAGATGTCTGTAAAGTGTGGTGATAGGAACCTGGGGTCATAATCTCTACAACACAAATACAGCCAAATACAACAACCAGTGAACCTGCTGGGCTTCATATGGAATGTTTACATGATAAAATAGTGGAAAAACTTAATGCAATTTATTTGGGGACTATTTTGCCTTACAACGCCCTGCATGTGACCCTCCGCCACAAATGGATTGAAATAAATTGTATAACAACACGTTTTAGGCCAACACTTTATCATAAAACAGTGTCTCAGGCATTAGGCTGTGTATTCTGTGAGGGAGATTTTGGAGGTGGACGTCTAGTTCCTATCACCACCACTGTGAACAGTTCTGCCTCTTTAAGTTTGTTTAGAACGGAGCATTTCACACCAAACCACTCTGGATGACTTTGCATCTTAACCATTTAATTACTTCTGAAAATTTGGAGTTCCCCTTTAACTTGTTAACAGTCTGTGGTAGAAATGGAGGTAGCCAATTGGATAGTTGTAATCATACTGGTCACGTGCCCAGTGCAGGGATGAAGTCTTTTTTTCCACAAGATGAACTTTCTGATTGTGTCCAGTTTTCGTATTAAACTTTAAAGGACTTTTAACTCGTGTATTTGTGCCTTACTGTGCAGGTAAGACTGGTCAGTGCGCCGCTCAGCCAGCAGGGGTCACTAATGAGTTTCATGTGTTTGTGCTTCCAGTTTTTTCCATCATAAAATATGTATTAGGATGACTCTGTGTAAGAGGATGATGGGTAACACGGTGTTATCAGTGGAGATTTAACTCGCTGCAGTAACTCCCAAAATACACAAGTCCATTTATCTGCTGTTATATGAAACAGTGACCTTACTGGTGACCCCCCACTGGTCTCACATTCCAGTGCACTCCGGCATCTTCTTTGTGATTAACCTGTAATTTTCTTTTCATAGATCATATATAAACTGGTTGAATATCAAACTCTGCTTCACCTCCTACAGCTGACGTCTGATCCTGTTTCTCAGAAACTTTATGAATTACACGAGAATGTTTCCAACATGTATGTTAATTTATTACTACAATACTCTGCAGTTACTCACTGGATCAGAATATACTCTGGTTGAGGTACCTTCTGTTGGTCCAGGTGTGAGATGCGCATACAGGTTTGTGGAGACAGTTCTGTCCAGAGTTTGTCCATTTCCAAGCAGACAATCTAGCGTTTCGGATTGGAGTATAGATGAATAAAGTTCAGTGCATCAGGCCTGTATAAGTGCAACATGGTAGTGGTACAGAAACATAGGGCTGGGTGATATATGCTAGCCTATTGGTGCTAATTACTTTTAAAAAGCAAACATATTAACTGTATTAATGCTAACTTAATGGGCTCACTAACTTTATTAATGATAACCTATTAGCTTAACTTTATTAATACTAACTTAATGTGTTCATTACTTAATGCTAACAACTTTATCACTGCTAACTTAATGGGTTCATTACTTAATGCTAACAACTTGATCAATGCTAACTTAATGGGTTCAGTACTTAATGCTAACAACTTTATTAATGCTAACTTAATGGGTCATTCTTAAGCTACACTTTATCAATGCTAACCTAATGGGTTCATTACTAAATGCTAACAACTTTATCAATGCTAACTAATGGGTTCATTACTTAATGCTAACAACTTTATCTAACTTAATGGGTCCAGTACTTAATGCTAACAACTTTATTAATGCTAACTTAATGGGTTCAGTACTTAATGCTAACAGCTTTATCAGTGCTAACTTAATGGGTTCATTACTTAATGCTAACAGCTTTATCAATGCTAACTTAATGGGTTTATTACTTAATGCTAACAACTTTATTAATGCTAACTTAATGGGTTCAGTACTTAATGCTAACAACTTTATTAATGCTAACTTAATGGGTGCAGTAACTTTATTAATATTAAGTTGTTCACTTTCAGGGCCAGCTAAGTGGGTTGGTTGACTTTATCAATGTAATTGATAAATAAATTAATTTAATGTGTTCTTTAATTATAAATGCTAACTTATTCACTTTTAATACTAACTTAATGGGTTTTAATGCTCAGTCAATGTGTTCATTAACTGTTATTGCTGGCTTATTGACTGTATTAATGATAACTAAATGGGTTTGTTAACTTTATTAATCATAACCTAAATATCATCTAATGTCAATGTGGTTTTGAGTAAATATCATAAAATTGAATTATTAGAAAAAACACATTATTGATTTGTGTTGAATGGAAATCAATAACATTTCCTTTTAGTTGTAAAGATGCTGCTTTAATATAATGTATTTAGAGCATATGGAAGTCATCTGAAATGGCAGAGTGAAAATGTTCGTAACTTTGGTCTCTTCTGTGTGTGTGTGTGTGTGTGTTGTAGTTGTCCTGTTTTTTTTCTTCTTTTGACGTTTACCCTGACATGGGTCAGAGGTCAGTCTGGGGTCAGTTATTGTGGGGGAAGCGTGAAACTTGTGATCCGGACCTTTTCCACTGGACCAGAATGTGACTTCCACTCACATACAGACTCGCTCTTTCATGCAATGTGATTGACTGCCGCCTGCATCACTGTCCAGCCCGCATGTGTAACATCTGGTGGTGTTGTGATTGGCTGGCTAGGGATGTTTATTTGGGACTCTGTGCTGTGGTTGGTCAGAGTCTGGAGTGGGTGAGATTAGAAGTTCATTGTGTGGGAAGCTGTGTTTTATTGCATGTGAAGAAATGGCAGACCCTTTTTCCAGGAAACGAAAGATACGGGGGGAAAAAAGGAAAGCATCTCTAGGCAGCTCCAAAACTTCATGTTCATGGAGATTGAGGGAGAATCCCTTTTGTTTGAGCTGGCGGTTCATTGTAGAGTAAACCGAATGTGTATTGTTTTTGAAGTTTTATACAGTTTATCTGATCAAAATCTCAAACATCTTGGAGTCCCTTTTCATACCCCCCCACTATTTTAGTTTAATCATATTTCAGTGCATACAGTTCTTGGTTATTGTACATTTTGCCGCACAGTTTCCCATATCACAATCAAAAACTCCTTATTGGCAAGTTATTAAGCTGTGTTCACAATACAAGCCTCATTGCTCAAATCTGATTTTTTGCTCAAATCCGATCTCTCTGACATGATCGTTCCCACTCGTTTAGGTAAGTGATTCAAATCTGTCATTAATGTGAACGAACCGGCGTCCTGAAATGCCCCGCATACACACATCCTACTCAGTAACGTCACGTGAATGGATCACGTGCATCATCAGCAAACAAACTAACAAGCAGAACGAGCTTCGCTGCCAAGATAATTAACTCTGATCAGCTCTCAGCTGTTTATTATTAGAGCGAGACGAAAGTGAAAAATGTGAGATGTGTGGCTTTCCCACTGTTTACAGGCTGAATGCCAACGCTGAATGATGGTGCACGCGCAGTGGAATAAAAGCACATGAATTCCGATCTGAGCGTTCGCATTAAGGTCGCATGGCCACGAATTGGATATGTATCCGAGCTAGGACCACATGTGAAAGTGGCTCAGGTCGAGTTTGAAAAGATCAGATTTGCGTGGGCACACAGCCCTGAAAACAGCAGATCTGAGTCACATTAGGACAAAAAAATCAGATTTGTGCAACCTCAGCCTGGTAATGTGAACGTAGCCTTAGAGCCCTCAGTACCTGAGAGCAAGTTTTGTTATTCATCACGTCCTAAATATTGCATTTAAATAGACATTATTGTGGCTTTCTCGATGGCATCTTTGTTAATGCTGACATTTCTGTGGAACCTTCAGGTGACCATGTACTGCAAATGCGAAAACATCTGATAAAAAATGAACCACCAGCAAACAAGCAGTTACAACGGTGCTCTACTTGTGGAAATTGAACAGCTGCTCCAGTGAGGCAAGTGATATTTGGACCAGTTGTGGGGAGTGGTCTCAGAACAAAATGTGTGTTTGGAGTTCTGTTAAAGAGTATTCACACATTGCAACCGCAATTTAAATTGCGATTATTATCTGTAAGGTAAAAGGTTCAGGCCTGTTTTTTTTTGGCCAAAAAGTTCAGAATATCCACTTTTTCTGGCTTGAGGCTTGACTTCTGAATACAGTTTGTCAAAGTGGCAGTAAGTTGTGGTTGTGATGTCACAAAACATGGAGGTTTGTTTGCCTCTGATTGGTCTAACTCATCTACAGGCAGTTCACAAACTCTGTGTTATTAGGTTAAATTTCCCCACTTAAATCTTAAGGCAGCGTTTTTGATAATTTACGCTATAATTTAAAAAAATTGCAGCTCTTACAATTTGAAAATTGCACTCTCTTAAATTGTGATTTTGATATAAATACAATTAATCTTTCAGTCCTAATAGTATAGTGATGTGAATGCACATGACCTATACCCACCTCTGAGGAAACTGACTTTTAATGATTTGAGTATCTTATTGCGATTATTCTGACCAGTATTGCAGTTGGGATTATTTTATACAAATTGAGGTCCAGGCTGTTTTTGGCAGAGAAGGCCAACATGTACAGTTTTTCTGGCTCGAGAAGCACATGGATGTTTGGTTGCTTTGGATTGATCTGACTTATGTACTGGCAGTTCACAGGATCCATGTTATTAGTTTTAATTTCCCCACTTAAAAATTAAGACAACATTGGGCCTTGTTCACCACCTGTTCTTAGGAAGAAATTTCTTCTTAAAACCCACTTACACGGTTTTCATGAAGATTCTGATATTCACCAGTGTTTTCTTATTTGGGATTTGTTCTTAGGTAAGAACAGAATCTACACACACTCAAGAGCACAAAGGTGTGAACGGTTCTGTGGTTTAA